ACCCCAGCACCCACAGCATCACTCCAGGTACCCACCAACCCTGTTCCCCTGGCACACTGGGATGTGCCAGCCCCATGGACACACTTGAGCAAGATGTTCTTGCACCACCCCCCTGAACAGAAGACATCTTCACCCCTTCCCACACCCCGCTGTGGAGCCGGGGGAGCTGTAGGAAGCAGAGTCCAGCTGTGTTTCGTCTTCTCCTTGACCAGGCACCTGTGTTTGGTCAGGCGAATCGTACCCTAAACTCTCCTGACAGCTCTGGCAGAGCCAGCCGAGGCCGGCTGCGCTGCCCCAGACCCCCCCTCTCTGTGGCTGTGCCCCCCAGCCCTGGCCCTTCACCCCTCACAGCTGGGAGCTCTCTCTGGGGTGGGGTGCCCATTTGGAGGGCTCAGAGGCCCCTGAGCACCCACAGCTCTCTACCAAAGCCCCCCACCCTGGTCCTTCCCTGCTCCTGGTTGCCCAGGGAAGATTCAGGGGTGCAGGATGCAGCCCAGGGCACTGGGGCTGCTCTGTCCTGGGAACCTGGAGAAATTCCACACCCATGAGCAGCCCCCCAAACCCCAAACACCTCTTGCCCAGAGCCCCAGCTTGCAGGTGATGGTACATCTCCCTGTCCCGCAGCTGAGCTCCCTGTCTCTCCTTCCAGGATCTCTCTGTCCATCCCTGCATGGCCAGGGGCTGTTGCCCTCTTGCCTTTGACCTCCTGCCCCCCCCGTCACTTTGTCCCAGGGCCACATTTTATGGCTGGGTGTGGAGGAGCCCACACTGTGGTGGCCTGGCTCAGGTGTTCTAGATTTGTGTGGGGTTTGTCTGGCCCAAGGGTTCTCCAGATCCCCTAAATTCAGCCTTTGGGGTGGTGCTGGGCAGCTGTTAACCCGTTAGTACCCAATGCCACCCCATCCCACCACACAGAGCACCTGGCTGTGACCCTTGGGTATTTATTAACACAAGAAAGAGTAAAAGTTGGCCTGGAAATTCCCTCTGAGAAAAGTCCACACAAAGTGCTTTCCTGCCCTAACCTTGGACTCAGCATAGCCAGGATGCTCCTACTCTGTCCCAAGGTCCCTGACCCCACAGCAACATCTGCAGCAGACAATGGGCACCTGCCCAGACATCACGTCAGCTCTCCAAAAAAAGTCTGAAGAGGCACTTGGGTTCTCTTGGGTGTCCTGCCAAATTGGCAGTGCCCAGACCTGGTGACGATCCTCTCCTCACACAGGAAAACTTCCTGCCACAGGGCAGGCTGTGCCCCTGTCCCATGGGGTCTGGTGAGGTTTGGGGCTGTATGACAGCTCATGGGGTGCAGGGGTGATGCTGGGGGTCCCTGGATGTACATTGGTCACATACAAGCTGCAGTGACCCTGTGCAGCACCAGCTGGATGGGGTGACAGGTTTATCTCCAAGCTGCACGTGGTGCCATGGTCATGCCACCCATGCTGGGGCACCCAGCACCTCCTGGGCACATGAAGAGATGGGGAAGCCTCTGCAGCCTGCCCAGGCACCACAATTTCCCGACCCACACCAGGCAGGGACCGTGCTGCAGTCCCTGGGCGGCTCAAACTCCTGTCCCCACTAAATCCAGCCCAACACATGCGGGATGGACACAGCATCGCTCCCCACCATGGCTCTGCCCACACGTAACTGGGCTGGTGTCCAGTTCTCTAGAGCCTGGAGGGCTCCCCTCTATCTGGCTTTTGTCCCCCTGGGCTGGGGACAGAGGGACAGGGGGTGGCAGCCTCAGTCCTGATGCCATCCCATTGCTTGTGCACAATTTGGGCTCCTAGTGTCTGTCCCAAACCAAAAGCCCCCAGTACCTGGATGTGGTGGGGCTCTGGTGTGGCACAGTGCCAGGCAGGGACAGGGACACTTCACACTTGACCCTGGTTGGGGAAGGGGGACAAGGAGAGTGGAAGGTGCTGTGAGCAGGGAACCACCTCTAAAAATATCCCAGACTCTGCTCCAGGACCAGGTCTCTCACTCCAGGACCAGGTCTCTCACTCCAGGACCAGGTCTCTCACTCCAGGACAGAATCTCTTCGAGGGCAATTTGGGGCAAAACCCCGCGGTTCCTGGGCTACAAGTCCCAGATCTGGTTTGGCCACTTGTGGTGCCGAGAAAGGAGCCCACGAGGAGGAACGGGACCACGCCAAGTGTCCCCACCAT